AGAGAGGTACCGGTGAGGATTCGCCCGCGATGTTGAGGAAAGCATACTTTAGAACATAAGTGGAGTTTAGCATTTTCTTGATCTAAGTCGGCTCTTACTCTTAGTAAATAGTCCGCATGAGCTACATCATAAGATAGACGTACATATGATACAAATGAAGTAGAAAGAGCTTAGTCTCTCTCGTGTTTGATACAGCATGGAGTTTTCTCACAGTTCGTTGCATGTCAGTTGCCGATCTGCTGCAAATACGAGTTCTCAAAGAGCTTGGTAAACGCAGCAATTTCGAGAGATTTCCTTATCGGCTCACCCCCTTCATCGAAGTTGACTCTTCAACGTTGAACCTTGACAATGAGGACATTTCCCGTGGAAAATCCCCTTCAAATTGAACTAAAAGCTCCACTCATCTCCTAAAATCGGAGTTAGCCCCTGGCAAGAGGAGTTCTATTTCCCCTCATATTACCGAGTCAAGATAAGGATTCTCCCCTGAAAGGTTCAATACAAACACCAGTTCATCCGAAGTTTTCCAACCCGCCGTTCACTCATGAACTTGGCTCAAGACAGTTTCTGAGTGGCAAGCCTCATCAGCCATGGTCTCAGCGTCCATCGCGAGAGTCGCAGCCGCCGCGCTGGCCATACTGCCGGCGTTGGCAGCGCGCAAAAACATTATCATCGATACTGACATCTTCAGTGACTGCGAGTCAGTGCCACCCATGTCCCCCCAATCCTCACCAAACACCCAGGCTCTAACATCACAACAGTGATACCGGCGCCCTTCTCCTCGCAGCAACCTCACCAGACGTGAATCTCCTCGGTGTCAACGTCAACTACCCTTCAACATACTCCGTAACGGCAACCTCGGCAATCCTCGCTCACTATGGCCTTGGAGATGTCCCCATCGGCGCACGCAGGCCAATGACAGATGAGCCTTTCTTCGACACCTTCGCCTACGACCTAGGCGAGTACGCGAGCAAGATCTCATACCACTACTCGGGCGGCTCGCTCCCCTTTGGCCAGGCCGAAAACGCCTCAGACGCGGTGACGCTCTACCGCAAGATCCTCGCCGGGGCCGACGAGCCCGTGACCATTGTCTCCATCGGCTTCTTCGAGAACCTCTCCGCGCTCTTAAACTCCACCGCTGACGCTATCTCTAACCTCACGGGCCCCGCGTTGATTGCAAGCAAGGTCTCGGAGCTGGTTGTCATGGGCGGCGAGTACCCGTCCGGTCGTGAGTTCAACTTCTTTGGCGATAACCCTTCACACACGGCGCACGTCGTGAACAACTGGAAGGGGCGTGTGGTTTTCTGCGGCACTGAGGTTGGCTCAATCGTGCTGTCCGGAGCGAAGCTGCTCGCCGAGGGCCCCGTGTCGGATCCGGTCCGGCAGGCTTACATTTACTACAACTTTTATCGGCCCCGGCAGTCGTGGGATCCACTGACGGTGTTGTATGCTATGCAAGGTCTCGGGGACATCTTTGAATACGGTAACAAGTACGGGCGCAACTTTGTCCATGCCAATGGGTCGAATGAGTGGGTCTATGATCGGAATGTCACTAATCAGCACTGGTTGAACCTCAAGGTGGACAATACCACGGCGGCGGCGGCGCTGGACAAGTTGTACTTGGAGGGAGCGTGGTCGGTGGTGAACGGGACATCGGCATGAAGGACCTCTACCGTTGCTCTCACTTTGGAGGGCCAACTATTCGAGTGAATCTAAGCTTAATATTTGGCGTCGATAACGCTGCATGCCGGCTCTTTCACGTGTGCTTCGTGCGCTGAGACTCGACGGACTCCATTAGTCAACCCCTCGACCGAATGCGAGCCTTGGTAATCCTCCCCATATCTCACCACACTTTGATCGCCGTGAAATCTCCTTCTTCCGCACTCTCAGTATCGGCCACCATCCCGGTCACGCCAACTGAAGCAACACTGTACGCAGTATGCGCCAAGATCACGTTGCATTCGCGCCGGCGACGGTAACAAGGGGGTTATGCAGGATACCACCTTCCTTATGCCCCTCGCTCCCCGTTGATGGACTTCCGGATTTCCTTGCTGATTCCATCTGGACTGCTGCGACAAGACCGTTGAATGCTGCAGCACAAACAAGGTTCATTACCAGAATCGACAGGTTCCGTGTTCGTGACGAGGGGATCCATCCGCTGCAACCGTGAGAAGATCACAGTATGGCCCTCAATCTTTGGCGCTCTTATCTTGCTCAATCGCTCTCAGTAATCTCGTGTTGCCCCGCACTCTCGAGTCGCTTCATCTATCCGAATGTCAGTTTTGGGCGATTTTTGGTGGGGAATGTACCCTCAACACCACATGGTGATAGTGTTAAATGCGACGTAGATGATCACGGGCAAGGGGTTCAGAGGCGCGCCCATCATATCATTTGAATTTTAGACGTATAAATAAGCAAATCATGTAGGTAAAATATCCTTGGCTTCCTCGTAGCTATGAGCTGTAGGACTTTGATGTTCCTTGAGGTTCTTTGTACCGCAGAAACCAGCTCAACATGGTTGCTCTGAGAGCATCGCTTGCGGCATTGGCCGGCATCGCGGTCTTATCCTCTGCATCGGTGGTGGAGAAAGATGTGACGCCAGTTTTCGAGAAGACAAATGTTCCCGGCGCGTTCATTGTTGAGTTCGCCGACGATCAAGTCAGTTCGCCAGCTTCACCTGCACCCATTGGCGATTCTCTAACACGTCACAGGATGTCACTGGATTCCTCAGCCAGCTGAAGACAGAAACCGGCGCGACCAAGATCTCGCAGCGCCTCAACCTCCACTCCAAGATCTTCAAGGGTGTCTCCATTCACGTCGAGGGCTCCAATAATGAGACAGCCTCGAAGATCGCCGGCCTCCCGCAAGTCAAGAAACTCTGGCCCGTCCCCCTGATCAGCGTCCCAAAGCTCGACATCACCTGGACCGGCAAAGACAAGACTCCATCCAAGTACAAACGCCAAATAAACTCTACAGATAATTGGCCACCCCACGTCATGACGCAAGTCGACAAGCTCCGTGCAAAGGGCTTCATCGGAACAGGTCTCAAGATTGGCATCGTGGACACAGGCATCGACTACACCCACCCCGCCCTAGGCGGCTGCTTTGGTCCAGGATGTCTCGTCGAGTTCGGATCCGATATCGTGGGGGACGCTTATGACGGCGCGAACGCGCCCGTCCCCGATGCGGATCCCTTCGAGAACTGTCTCGGCCACGGCACCCACGTCGCCGGTATCATTGCTGCCATGGAGAACCCCATGGGCTTCACCGGTGCGGCGCCTGGGGTGAAGCTGGGCATGTACCGGACCTTTGCGTGTAACGGCCAGACGACTGGCGATGTTCTGCTTGCGGGCGTTATCAAGGCCTTCGAGGATGGCAGCGATATCATTACTGGATCCATCGGAGGTCCTAATGGTTGGGCTGGAGAGGCGTTTGCCGTGACTGTCTCGAGGATCGTGGATGCCGGCGTTCCTTGCACTTTCGCCGCTGGCAACGAGGTTGGCGGTACAGAAGGCCTGTTCGGAATCAGCACACCGAGCACTGGCGACGGGGTGATGTCCATATCATCCTACCAGAGTCAAGGAGCGGATAGTGAGGGAAAGGTGTCAGCTTTTACGAGCTGGGGTCCGACCTTCGAGCTCAAGCTTGCGCCGAGTTTTGGGGCTCCCGGTGCCGGTATCTTGAGCACCTGGCCTGTTGCTCTTGGTGAGTATGCTGAGGCATCTGGCACTTCCATGGCAACTCCTCTAGTTGCCAGTATCGTAGCTCTTGTATCTCAGGTAGGTTCTTGCGGCGAGAGCGACGTCTTCCTAGCCAGACTAATCAGACTGACATCGAACAGGCACGGGGAACTAGGGATCCTGACTTGATCAAGAGGCTGCTTGCCTCAACCGCAAAGCCAAACCTCTCACAGAATTACGGAGTCGACAACATCGAAGCCGGCCTCGGCCCTGTGCCACAACAAGGAGCCGGCATGGTACAGGCCTACGACGCAGCCTACACGACATCAGTTCTCAGCGTAGCCAGTCTCTCGTTCAACGACACCGACAACTTCATCTCCGACACCACGTTCACTATAACCAACGTCGGGGACACAGCGGCAACGTACAACGTATCCCACATTCCTGCCTTGACCGCCACCACTCTCACGGACATTTATCGTCAGAGCTCTCCCGAGCTCTTCACGACGTACGCGACTCTGACCTTTGAGCCATCCAGCTTTAGCTTGGAACCCAACGCTACCGGTGAAGTTCGCATCAGCGTGGTTCCTCCCAAGGGTTTGGACGCCGCGACCCTCCCACTGTACTCTGGATGGGTCGCTCTCAACGGGACCAACGGTGACGGCGAGATCGCGCTATCGGTCCCCTACATCGGCGCAGCTACATCTATGAAGAACATCACAGTCTTGGCTGCAAATCGCCTCATTTTCAGTCGCAGCGACGACCCAAGGAGCCCAGATGTACCCGCAAACACCACATTCCAGCTTCCCGCTCCGGCTGCGCATCCCGACTGGGCCTTACCCTTGGCAAACACTTCGGACCTTATTCTCCCCCTTGGAGCGTTCCCTAACCAGTTCTTGTGGCTGGTTATGGGAAGCTTCGAGGTTCGTCTCGAGGCCGTGCCAGTCGCGTCTCCGGCGTCTGAGACCAATTCAGATGCCCGAGATAACGACCTCGGTGTGGTGACCCTTGGAAGCGTAGCTGGATATCCCATGACCTATGTAAGGCCCATTGGCTGGATGAGCCCTTGGGATGGTAGCTTGGCGGATGGCTCTTGGGCGCCAGCTGGCAGGTATCAGCTCAGCATCTTTGCGCTGAAGATCATGGCGGATAGAAGCTTGCCGGAGAGCTGGGATCGGTATGATTCCCCAGAGTTCATCATCCGTTACGTAGATGCATGATAGATAGCCTCTCAGTGCACATGAGCAAGGTAAGTAGAACAGCTCTATGCGATGGTGAAGATTTGGAGACTATTGTAACTATTCAACCATTTCATTTGATCGCTTATGCTGTCGGCCTTGAGGTCTTGTAAAACTGGTTTAGCGCCAACTCTTCAAATGCAATGGCCTCGAGTGCCATCTTTTGTACAAATCCAGGATCGAAGTTCTTGTTCAAGTATGTGATGATCATCGAAAGGCCTAGAGTCATGTAACCATTAACAATGAGCAGGGTGTGAGCGAAACAAGTCTTACCAGCGCCGGCTCCACCTCCAGTCCACAGCTCGCCCTTCTCCTCGCCCTCATACTCCTTCTCCTCGACGACCCATCTCTGGTCAAGCCACTCAGTCTCAGGGTGGACCTGCCTCACAAACGGCAAGAATTCGCGGTTCGTGGTGCACTTCTTCCCCTTCAGCACCCCAGCGCTGGCCAACCAAGGGCTACCGATGCACGTTGTCAACCAGACCTTGGTCTTCGGGTAGGCTTCCTTCATGAAGCGGTCGGCAGCGGGAGAGCGATGGCTGGGGAGTGGGCCACCGATGAGGACGAGATCCAGATCTCGAGGGCAGTCGTCGTAGGTTATGTTCGGGACGAACTTGAGACCGGGCGTCATCTCGGCGGGCTCTAGCGTGGACGAGATGAAGTAGAACTTGGTATCTACTGGGTGGTCGGCCCATTGTGCGAATTCGGGATCAAAGTCTTTGACTTTGTTGTAGTATTCACGAGACAGGTTGCCGAAGAGATCGATGCCCATGATGTCGCTCAGCTGCACGGCCTCCAACATTACGCCGATGCGAATTAACTTTTTAGATCCCAGCGTTGTCGCCATCTTGCCTGTTTGAAGACTGGGTTCTTGGGACGGAATCGGTGAATCAAGTTAGTGTAAAGTGAGTTAAACCACGATGGGGAGCTAGAATCAAGACAAACAGAACAGCGATGCATCAGCCGTAAGAGGTAATGCTTTTATACTTTCCCACAAGAAACAGAAACCAGCTGTCTCCGCACTGATGCAGTGTGCATCCACCTCCCTCCGGCTTTCCCCATCAACGCCTTACTCAGCCGTCCTTGCACATCTTCATCCGTGGTACTCAAATCGTTGTAGGGTTACGTTGGTCTCCATTTTCCCCTTACGCTAGGCTCCAAGCCCATCTAACGTCCGATCGTTGAACCCAATCCCCGTCCCCCGAGCCGAGTGGCTTCGGGGCAGTCCTCACCCTAAAGCAAGCACTCACCTTGCGTGATTATTAGCGGCCGCCCCGTGCGCTAAGAGAGGGATAAACGGGTCCAGTGACCAACTCCGCCGGCCCCGATCCGTGATTAGCTCCGAAGGGCATCGGAACTTACAAGTAACAGGCATTCATCCATTCAAGCTGTGGGAGAGGTCGTGTCCCGCAATTCAATGACCAGGCATCGATCGGACGCCAAGATGATGGTGTTGCAGGTTACATCACCGTCTTCTGCCTTGAGTTAGGAGTTAACATCCTTCTTTCGAGGCAGCACGATTCCTAACTTACTGCTATGATCTGAGACTGATCGGACGTGACGTGGCCCCACACCGACCCGGCAATGCAGGCATGTCTTCTCTTCCCCCGGATTTTGCCCTGCCTGTTCCGTTGGCTGCCTGACAGGGTACGTATCTCGGAGCTGCATCTTCGACGGGCAGGCACGGCGGTGGAAGTGGGGTCTCCGGGAGCCCGGAGGAACGTTGGAACGACACCCGAAGCCCGACTTCCGTCCTGAGGCAGGCGGGACGACAATGGAAGTCTTTCCTTACGACTGATACGTGTGGGATTTGCACAAAGAATATCTCCAAGTCTTTCTGCGAGTATCTTGAGTGTCAAATGACCAAAAGCCCACATCGTCAGGGTAACACCATCGATGTAGCGTTGACGCCGGGCTTCATCTTTTTCGTTCTTGTTCGCATTTTCTCATCTAGGATCACTGCCCTGAGAGACCGAGTTCGAACTTTTTGCCAAAGACATAGACATCACAGTGCAACATGTCCACCGAAGGAGTTGGGCCAGCCGAGTATGCGTTGATACAAGAGTTATTCATCAATCCCAAGGTCTACATCCCTACGCACCTGAAGCATATCGCTAAGCGCTTGCGAGAATCAACTTTTGTTGAATGTACGAATCATCTGGAAGACACGCCTGATGTCCAGTCCTTTGCAATTCCAGAACCCACCTTCACTCCCGAGATCGATGTGCAAGATGACGGAGCCGACGATATCCTCGCAAAGTCCATCCAAATATTTCCTCCGGGAGACATTCTCAAGCTTTCCATAGAGGCCACCATACCCCACATACGATTCTCGCACGCAGTCTCGAAGCTGGAGCTGCCGTCCCTAAGAAGTGACCCGAGGCACGACCTCAAAGCTCTCGGTCGAGCAGTCGGCGAAGCCCAGTGTCTTGACTTCTTCCGCAAGCCTAACCCGTTGCCTCGCGAGCCTGTCGATAATACGAAGGATGAAGGTCTGGGTCTTCCGCTCTCTGCGGTGCACTTTCACGATCAGCTTGCGAGAGAAGCCGAGCTTGAAGAGCTTGACTACACCGAGGAAGACCTAGCATACGCTGCAGAGTCAACATTCGTTGATTGGTCCAAGAGGGACTTTGACCAATTGATCGATCTTGAGATGGTTCCAGCTATGGTGGGAATATTTGGTTTGGCGTCGTGTAAAGAATCTCGCTAATAATCTGTCCAGGACAGAGTCGAAACCATGACTCCACCACTGATTACCATGCCCTTCGAAGATGTAGAAGATGCAGAGTTGTTTATACCGGATGCCGATGTCTGCGAGATACCTCAGTTTTCAGATCCGGAGAGCCTTCTCGAAGAGGATCTCGAGGAATCCCGACACAACCTAGCCGTGGCCTATGATGATATCAAGTTCCTAGATACCTCAACGTCGGACATCCTTGGCATACCTTCAGACACCCCTAGCTTCGACATCCCCACTCCTCAACGAAAGGGCACAGCACCAGCCATGGAGGTCCCTATCCTGCCCATGTCGGACGACTCTACGTCCAGAAGCGAAGAGAAAGACGCCTTTCGGGCAATCTTACGCGATACTGCTGGATTTAATTCCATTAGCCTTCCAGGACCGTTAAGATCCAGCCCATGCTCGGAGGAAGAGTCAAGATTCAACGAACAATTCAACCTCCTCTTAACAGAGAAAGCAGACACCCTGGCACGGAAGCTCGAACAAGAGCAGGTCGAGGTAATTGACGCCATTGCCAGAATGCAGCCTCCAGTCCTCGATTTCAGAGCACCTACACTAGATTGGGAGGGAGCTACCCGAGGCCCCGAAGAGATGTTTCTTTGGGTCCGCTGCCAGAACTCCGAGCAGTTCGCATCGCCACCTTGGCCACGGAATCGGCAAGAACAAAAGGAGCTGCGATGGATCCCTTTCCCATCTTCCCTAGGTCTGGTGGAAGTCGGGGAGTCCGTTGGAGATGACAAAGTGTTGCAACGTCTCCTTGAAGGGCGACGATCTACGAGACTACCGACGAGTGCCGATCACGTACGGCAAATACATACACTCAAGGCGATACTTCCAGACGATGATGACGAGGAGATCCCGATGCCTGATGACGGGGACCAAGCCCACAGTAGCTCACCTTCCACAAGAGAGGACCTCATGCAACTTATTCGAAAACGCAAACACGAACAAGCTGCCAAAGATGATCACATAGATCAGGTGTCGCCGACTGTGGGCGTTAAGCACCGTCGGACAACTACAACTACACAGTCAAAGTCGACGAGGTCCTTAGGGCAAAGCTTGCTCCTCGGAGTAGATGAAACCAATGCCGCGGGAAACCTACTCGCCAACTACATGAACCTACGAGGTGCGAAACGAGTCACAGGGAAATTCGAGCCGTTATTCCCAATTACGAAGCGCAAGGATGCTCAAGCTCCAATGTCTGTAGTCGGACAAGTATCATCGAAGCCGAAAGCACAAAAGGCCCCCGTCGATGCTCCTGTCCCGGCCATAGAGCACACAAACAGCCCCTCCCGCATCATCATTTCTACCGCCCTCCCGCGAGGGATCATATCAGCCCTCCAAGCTAACCTATCGGGCATCGATCTCGTAGACCGTGACTTCTCACGACACAACAAACGCGTCTGGTCCCCGGGAAGCGTAGAGACCGTAGTAAAGCCATCCCCGCTATCCTACGAGGCCGACATCATCCCTTCCCCAACAACAGGTATAATCATCACAACTATCCTCAAGGTCCGACAGAAGCCCCTTCCAGGATCCCAAACACAGCTCTCTCAACTCCGCGGCCGCGTAGCAAGAGTCGCACCGCTCTACGAACAACTGACTATCCTCGTCTCGGAAGACAACCCCCTCGCAGAACACATCGGACCGCTCAGCGCAGCCGACGCCGCATCGTACGCCTCCTTCGTCGCTTTCGCATGCTCCCTCAGCAATAGCAGCGGCTGCACCATCGACGTGGTCTACGTGGCCGGCGGCCAAAAGACACTAGCCCACTGGACGTGCGCCCTCGTCTCGACGCACCTCAAAAAAGCATCCCACGACGTGCAGCAAGTCATCATGTCGGAAGAGACGGAATGGGAAGTCTTTCTCCGACGCGCCGGCTTCAACATGTACGCGGCCCAGGTCGCTCTCGGAGTCGTCAAGGGGGGTTATCCAGTCGTAAATGTCGACAGCGACGGCGGCGACGGCAACAATGACCAAGACTGGACGCTCGTGCGGTTCCTGAGAATGAGCCCCTCGGAGAGGGCGAATGTGCTCAAGGGCTTTCTTGGTGGTGGGAGTCTGGTGGACAGAGTCAGTGCGCGTCTGGGCTGAAAAGCTGGAAGGGCTGGCTGCGAGTGGAAGGTGTTCGGAAGCTGGCGAACCCATCTGCACATAGTTCGGATGGACTTGATGAGTGTTGTGGAATAAGGTATAGGCGTATGCAGGAGGAATCATACGTACCTTGCGTCGAACCTGCGCGTGATGCGTGTGATTAAGCTTCGCTGCAGACGAGGATCGGTTGGCTCGGGCGAAGGTTTTGCGCGCGGGTTGGGACCACCAGGCGATCTGAATAGGACAAAAACGTCTCATCATCGGTCTGCCGAGACGGCGCTGTCCACTTGCCCAGTGAAAAGAACCGTGTCAGGCACACACCTACTATACCTCTTCATTGCAGGCGGCCTTGCAGATTCTTGTGATGCCGAGGAGACCAAGGGCCAAGACATGTCGTGAGCAACTCTGCTGCAATTCTAGCGCTTTCTATTCAGAGATATGATGAGACAAATTCGAAGAGAACGTTGATATTACAAGTAAGAATAAAATAGAAAATGCTTCCTGAAGCTCGCCTCCTATTCTAACAATCTTGGTCCACGCCATGTTGAGGCCAGCCTCGGCCCATGTAAGTCGTGACTCTTTTTTGGTGGTCTATGCATGCAACACCGAAAACGCCTTGGCCCTATTTTACATGTAATGATATGGTACAAATAGGTGGTACAAAGAAAGAAAACGGATGAAGACAGTATGTACGCTGCAAGGAAAAGTCACACCTATCCCTCGCATTCTATATGGCATTGGGAGGAATCTTGTCACCCTTTTCGAGCGCCTGCTTGATGGCTTCAGAGTTGATGACGCTCCCCATGACCTTTGTCAACAGGTCTTCATCAGGCTGCTGGAAGCCCGGGCGGAAAGGCGGCAGGGCCTTGGTGCATTCGGTCAAGTCGTTGATGTTACTGACACCAAGCAGAGACATGCGGACGTACTCTGTCGCATAAGCCTAAAGTTTAGGTTGTTAGTCTCGGGAAGTCTATCCAGATGGGACGAACGTGTGACGCCGTCAGGAAAAGTCTTACCTCGTTCCACATGAACTGACCGCGCGGCCCCGCTGCGAATGCCTTCCAGACCCCATTGGTGCGCGGATCCTGGGAAACGTTGATGTCGCTCTGGAACTTGAAGACGGCAGGAGGGGCATTGGGGTTGAGCGTTTGCTGGTAGTAGGCGATATCCCAAGTTCCGGGTGTACTGTCTTGGGGCGAGTCGGCGCGCGAGGGATCAACGAAGCGTTGCTGGCTGGTGCTGTGCGCGCCCATCAGGGCGACGAGGCCCGCTGGAGTGAAGGATTTGTCTGCGAAGAGCTTGAACAGCTTGGCTGAGCTGTCGGATGGATCCGGCAAGAGCTTCTTCACCGCGGGCGTTGTAGAGTCTTTGCGACCAACAAAGGTGCGGACTCGGGGTCCCAAGGGGCAGGAGACAGTGGCAACGTTGGACGCAGTCTGGATCAAATCGGCCATGGAGATCTTGTACCTCTTGTACTTGGCAAACCAGCCCTCCATGATATCACAGATCTCCTCAAGGCCTTTATTGTCGGAACGCGTCTTGCACTCGTTGGCAAGAATGATGGAGCCATCGGCGCCAGTGCCGCCGGTAGATTTGGACCAAGACGCCGCGTCATGGAAACCAAGGCGAATAGCACCACGTGCGACATTGTTGCAGCGCCCGGCATTGCCCACCATTTGTGCCGCCATATCGTCGGCAATGTACTTCCAGATGCAGCATTCGTCTTCTCTGCACTCCGCCGAGTTCTTGGGCGGAAGATCAGAGTCATCGTAAAAGCTCTTCAGGTCCTGGCCTGGAGCCTCGGCAGTCAAGATGTCCTTGATTGCCTGACCGGTCGCAGTGAGTTCGCGGCCCCGAAGCGTAGCAAGATCGCCAATGAGTTCTGTCGAAGGACCGCCACCGTCCGCTTGGCGAGCCTCGAGCTTGGCATCGGCCATCATCTTATTGATGTCCATACCGGGGCGAGCAATCACAACACTGGCCAGAGCGGCAGTGATGAGAGACGTAGTCTTCATGATTGTCACGGTCCAACACTAGCGACAACAAACAAAGAATAAGCGATATAAACGATTGGAACGAATCGAACACCGCCCGAAGGTCAGGATGGCTGCAAGTCGAAGCGAAAGGTGGTAGAGTTGAAAGCGAGAGATGCAGTGCTGGCTCGAGATACCGTAACGAGAGCGATTGCCATCGCCAATTATATCTTAGTCGGAGTGCGTTACGGAATGTTCTAAAAAGCTTCTTTGACTTCCGGCTCATGGACAGCCGGCCGCTAGGACAGCGAAATCCCAAGTCTGATTCCTGACATGAGAAGATGCAGATGGAGCAGCTGCACACTTGGTCGTTCAAGTCCGTCCATGTTACATGTCTCTGAGACAGGCCCCGCGGCAGCGGCGATCCAAGCAATCTTCTCGCTCAACGTTTTGCTTTCGGCCGGTACCGTCGGTCAGCTCTAGGCATCAAAATTGGATAGCGGTTCCGAACAATCGCCCAGAGTATCCCTGTCGATGCCATGAAGAGCATACGCGCTTCAGATGCCATCGATGCTGGTTGTGTCCAGTCAATCGGCGGGGTCGTTTCGCTCAATGCCCTGCCACGAGTAGATAGACCACGACCTTATTTTGTGGGATCTGATGTCGATCGGAATGCGACCGTTGCTTCTCATTGTGGACAATGTAGCCAAGGGAGGGACGTCTGCACGGCCACTGATAGGCGGTCGATGCGAAAAGTCAGCGGGGAGCCTCGCGATTGCAGCCAAAGAGGACATGAACAGCGGGAGCCAGTTGCTCGTCTGAAGGTTATGGTCTTTGTCGGGCTAAGGCTGCAACGTGGGGCATGCTAGTCAGGAACGACAGTGTCTGTCCAGAACGGGGAATAGTCTAATGGCGAGAACGCTTGGTCGTGGCGCCGTTCAAGTCGGACAGAGAAAGTTGTGTTTGAAGGCCTCACCGGCGGTCCGTGTGACGGAACCAGCGAGGAACTGACGAGGCTTTCCAATATGGAGAGAATGGCAACATGGTGATGGTGGCTTGCAGAACTCAGCTGAAATGTTGTTTGCACAGTCTCCGAATCGGCCGGCCAGGTCGGCGATGACGAAACTGCTGAGTTGAATGCGCTGATATCACCCGTTCGGCCGAAGAGACGTTGCATGGATAAGAATACGATGGCATGTGAAGCCTATACTTCGGTCTCTCCATTCGTATGGTCTTGATATCCGCTGACATGAGCTCGGGTATGCGAGGCACAAGCTGGTCTCTCAGCCTCTGGAGTCGACATTTGCTTCAAGCACCTGCGGCTGACCTCTTGGTCCCTCCCGCAAGACGGCCTGAGCCAGTTTCCACGTCCTCACTCCACTTGTCGAGTTCCATCTGATTCGCCGGGCAATTCTTGATCCGTGTGGCTGAACAGTCTGGAGGGACAGAATAGCTCGGATGACTCTGGGACTCGACGCTCCTGTTGATCGGCGGCGGAACCGAATCTGCACAGAACGACGTGAGTATGGATAAGCAATGGGTGTCTTGGTTTCTTTTCAGTAATTTTAGGCCGCATCAACATCTGCGGCATGCCATGCAAAGGGATGCGCTTTTTGGCTATTCGTAGATCTTGGCTTCAGTCATCCGAAATCATGTTGTCGTTACGCTTGCATGCTGAGACCTCGGCCAGATTCAGATACACGCCAGGCCATCGACCTCGCCATTACAACGGAGGAATTAGGGCCGTATCACGGTAGCCGGAGTCGTCGCATGATCATCACCTCCAAACTAGTGTTGTCAGACCAGAACCGCCATCATGTTTTCAAGACAGCAAAATCCTTCTCGTGATACGTCTAGGGCGACTGACTTGCATGTATCGTTCCAAACCCTGCAGTAGGATGATGCCCTTGGTCTGCGGAGTCATCAGAGGATTCGGGATTTGATACCAGGCGTGCCAACGAGGCGCCTCGCCTGTTACAGACCAAAGAGCATTCGAAATCAGGTTGCTCACGATGCCTCGAAGCCATCGGCTGGATGTTCCATTGGACCTTGAGCCAAGGTCCAGACTTTGAGTGATGATTCGGAGCTGATGCATGTCGATGCCAGGCGGGGCTGGCCGTCGTTGCCCGCGACACCTAGGCCATTGTCCAATTCCTCATCCCCATGGCTGGCCCATCCGCCAGAGCAAGTGGCGATTACCGATCCTGTGGGGTGGACCCCTGAGCTCCCGACGGGAGATTGATGGGCAGCCCAGTCCCATGACTTGTCATGAACGCCCTCTGTGCAGCCAACGGCTTCGTAGACGAGGACTTGGCCAGTCTCTGTTCCCGCCCATAGCTCGAAACCACCGGACGATCCACCAGTACCAGGGAAGACGTCGCAGGCCAGCCTTTGTTGGCTGTTGGTGGTGCGGCCCACTAGGACGCTCAGAGGCTGGCCTGTCCCACGCACATCGTAGACGAGAATGCCGTTTGCCTGTCGCTCATTGATGGCTAGATAGCGTCCACATGGGCTCCATATGGTTTGAACAATGCCGTTTCCCCCGATGTCTCGGCCGAAGTGAGACCTGTCAACGCCTTGGATGCTCCAGTTCGCAACGGCCTTGTTTGTTCGAGTCACGTCGTAGAGACTCATCCAACGGGACCAGGTGCCGGCGGCGACGATACAAGCGCCAGACTCGTCCGGATATTGGCTCGACAGCGCAGAGACCATTCCCTTCATGCCAACGCCGCCACCTTTGAGGAGATGCCGCTTGGAAGGGATGGTAGGGATGGTCAAGATGGGACCATCAGAGCCAGTCCGTGATACGTCAAAGTGGTCGAGGCGATTTGTCGAGCCGGCTAGGAAATGGGTCCCAGGCCAGGACCACAAGAGGGACTCAGGGCAGATGTACTCTTCTGTCTCCCGTCGGATAAGCTTGTAGGAGCATAGCGGAGGCGAAGACTGAGAGTCTGCAAAGACGTGGTAGAGCTGGATAGGGTGGTCTTTGCAGCCGAGAAGTGCAAGCTGGGTTTGCGGGTCGGCCAA